GAAATCTCTCCTTCTCCGATGTGCTTTGCCATGAAGCCATTCAATACGGACTCTCACCAGAGACACAATGCAGGGCCACCCGATCTTGGACTTTCGGCCTCCAGGTCTGTGGGTTAAATAAGCTTCCTTTCTTTGTGAAGCAGCCTGCCTCAAATATGACATCACAGTATTGAAAACAGATCAGTCGTGGTCAGCAGTTCAATTCCAAACTGAAATCTTGGTTAAGGGGGGTATTTACAGAACCTTTTCTAGTCTCTAGTGTTTCAGCTGGAGTTCGGAGGGTGGCTCAGTCAGGTCCATTTGTCATTTCCTACCAATCTTGGTCTGGGAACAGTTGGTGGTGTTTTTCCATGTTAGGCTTTAAGAAGTCAGCGGGAGACGACAAACCCCCAAACCACACAGTCCTCAGCAGGCTTAGAACAGACTCACTAAAGGGTAGGCAAAGAACAGACATGGCTAGAGGGGTGACTAGTATGGGGTAATCCATGAGAACCTTTACTCCAGCCTTTATAGGTTTAGAAGGAAATCCGAAGAATTCAGGGAACGCTTTGCCAGCCACACCACAATGGAGCTTCCTGCTGGGGAGAATATTCCAGAGGCTGAGAGACCGTTGGAGCCTGGACTTTGATCATTCATAACTTATGCCCTTCCCTCTCCCAGGCTCTGTAGGGTGGAGCGGTGAGGGTGACCATGAGCTCCTACTGTAGACAGGGTTATCAAAGGTATGATGCCTATCACATTGGGAGCTGGGAATGCCTTGTGCAGAGGAGCAATGGGGATGGGCATACACCTTACGCAGCTTGGGGACTAAATAAGAGAAGGCATTAGTGCCAGGTATGACTCCTGTGAACACGGGGCAGTCACAGCTTGTGAAGTCAAGGTGGGGCCCTAACGGCCACACCTCTCTCCAGCCTCAGCCTCCTGCTTTCTTCTTGGGCCTCATTTCCTGATGCTACTCCAGGACAGCATTAGGGGCAGGGGAGGGAAGCAGAGAGGCTGTCACTCAGTGCCACTGACAGAGTTGGAAGGAGATGAGGCTGCTGGGGACACATGAGCAGAGGAAGATAGAGTGAGAGGGCCTGCTGCAGGGCCTGCTGGGAGAAACCTAATGCTCAGAAGAACAGAGAGAGCAGCCCTTGACTAATAAGAGAGCCTTTCTCTTTGTGAAGGATGAAGATCCTCATCATATCAAACATGAGGCTAGGACCAGGCAATGAGATGACCTCAAACATGGAGGATCCCTTCGGACATGGAGGGTCACCTCAGATATGGAGGGTCACCTCAGATATGGAAGATCACCTCAGATATGGAGGGTCACCTCAAATATGGAGGGTCACCTCAGATATGGAGGGTCACCTCAGATATGGAGGGTCACCTCAGATATGGAGGGTCACCTCAAATATGATCACCTCAGACATGGAGGATCACTTCAGATATGGAGGGTTGCCTCAGATATGATCACCTCAGATATAGAAGATCACCTCAGATATGGAGGGCTGCCTCAGATATGATCACCTCAGATATAGAAGATCACCTCAGATATGGAGGGTCACTTCAGATATGATGACCTCAGACATGCAAGATGACCTCAGACAAGCAGGTTGTCTCTGATATGCCATTCACCTTAGATATGTGGTGTCACTTTGGACACAGAATGTATGCTAGCTCCATCACTGTGACAAATACAAATAGTCCGTTTATAAAAAGTTCATTTGGGCTCAGAGTTTTGAAGGTTTCAGTTCATAATTAATTATCACCATTGATTGTTGGCCTTATTGCAAGGGAAGAGTGATCATTGCACCAGCATGTGGGAAATGGTTGACGTCATGGCTGATAAAAGGAAGAGTAAGAGGCAGGTGTTCCACGGTCCCTTTAAGGGCATTTCTCCAATGACCTAAAACCTCCCACTAGGCTCCACCCCTTCAAGGTTTCACCGCTTCCCAACAATACCACCTTGGTGACCTACTCTTTAACATATGGGCATTTGAGGACATTCCAGATCCAAATTATAGCAGGGCTTCACCTTGAGTATGGGAGATCACCTTGGACGTGGAGACCACTCCAGACACAGGGATCAATCATCTCAGGCATGGGACGTTTTTATAGCTAGAAGGTGGAAATGTCTCCCACTGGCCTGGTGTCTGAGCACTTAGTCCTTGGCTGTTGGGGCCACTTTTGGAGGTTGTAGAACCTCTGAAGGCACCAAGCGCATACATGGAGTACAGATATACACGTGGTCAAAATACGCAGACACACAAAATAAATAAAGATTGTAGGCAATGAGAAGTAACTGATACAGGAGGACATTGCCGTGGACACTGGGTGTTCTCGGTTTTTGAATTTATTTATTTTTATCAAATCCCCTGGAACAGGAGTTACAGGCAGCTGTGAGCTGTCATGTGGGTGCTGGGAATTGAACCCTTGAGCCATCTCTCCAGTCCCACTGGGTGTTATCTTAGACATAGGGAGCACTTCAGACTTGGGGAGTACCTCATAGGTAGTGTATCACCCTGGACACAGTTTTCTTGTTGACAGGCTGCCTCTCTGTGGGCTCCTTCAAAACTGTGAGGGAAGTGAGTGGCCCTCAAACCCTGGAAAGAGTCTCAAACCTCCAGGGATCAGAAAACCTTGATCCACTACTCAGTTTTCAAGGCACAGGCTTGATCTACAGTGCAAACCCTGAGAGCCAAAAGGCTGTCAACCACCATGGCTACCCGTCCCTCACCACATCAACACATCACATACCCATCACCTCGCCGCTCTCATCTCAATCAAGCCATTGGTTTTTCTTTGAATGTCCTTTTAGCCGGGAAGGTTGATGCTTTAATCTTTTCTTACATGGCTTGGTAGCAAATAGCTGTTTTAGCAGAGCCTATTAAAACTGTGTCTTCATGGCTGGAGAGGTTGCTTAGCAGTTGAGAGCACTTGTTGCTCTTACAGAGGACCCAGCTTCCCAGCACTCATTTGGCACCTCACAACAATCTATAACTCAGGCCAGCCTGGGATATAAGGCAAGACACTGTCTTAACAACAACAACAACAACAACAAAAGACTAAGGAGGTGCATTTTTGCACTTCTCTCCAGATTCAGGTGTTAGCAAATACTTGTGAAGTGAATTAAAGTTTCCAGTGACAAGAAAGTAGAATCCAACCGAGTGAGACACCAAAGACAAATTAGACTCCAAAGAGTTCTAGAGTCCCACAGTATTGAATTTCCAAAAGAATCTATTTCTATGTCTTTCTAGAAGATTTCCTGGTGGAAATAAAAATGCTAAATTTAGGAGGAACTGTGACATTACCTTGCAGGCAGAATATGGAGCAAGACAAGAAAAAGCTGAGCCTGAAGAAGACTCTGCCAGGTGGATGAGTTGTGTGCTCTTGTTTCCAGAACAATGCAGCCACCATTGACGTCAATGTAAGAGAGGAAACAAAAGGCTCTTTGGGTGTGTGCAGGGTGCAGCTTGGCCCAGCTCTGCTCTGTGTTTGTGCGTGTTGGGGAGTGTGGTGAGGTGTCAATGTCAGAGGAACTAGAGGTGCTGCCCTGGCCCCTGCAGTGAGTCACCATCTGGCTTTCCAGGGCTCCTTTGGGCAGACTGCTGAGGTGAACTTAGTATCTGCCCCATCTGCAGCCTGTCCTGCCAGGCAGAGAGAAAGAAGCGGCTCCCACACAGGAATTCCTGAATGTGGGTTAGCTGGCTGTGTAGACCAGCGGCTCAGCTTGCTCACAGGCTTGTTTTTGTTTGTTTCGGTTTCCATCCCTGGTTCCTAGGACACAGCAGGGGAAGATCCAGAGTAGTGGATGCTGCTAGGCTTCAACTCCTGGACAGTGTGCCACGTGACCCTTTCACCCGTCCAAGACAAGACAACCTCGTCTGCCCCATCACACCCTACACTTTCAGAGCCCTTAAGTTGTTCCGTCATACAGGTAAATCTGGGGCCTCAAACCAATCCCAGGGGAAGTTCCACTCCCTCCTTTGACCCTTTGGACAGGAGCCTAATTGCTTCATGTGCTTCCAGACACTGCTCTTGAAAGAATAGCCTCAGCCAGGGTGCCACAGGGGCACTGCTGCCCTATCCCTGGGGAGTTCTTTACCCTGACTAGCGAGTGTCTGCAGCTTCCACCTAGGAAATGCCCTGCTTTTCCAGATGCATACCCCATTTACCCATCCTCAAGTGCCGCGCCTCCATAGACCCTGTAAGGTTAATCAACTACACCATCTCATTTGGTTAAGTTCCCCTTTAGAACGTCGTCGGTCTTTTCTCTCTACGAGATTGAGGGCAGGGAGGAATCACTTCTTTCTTTTGTATCTCTGCACAGTACTCATGACCTTATTTCCTGAATCAACACTTGCAACACACGGTTTCAAAAACAAGAAAGGCTGCGTGGAAGCGGTGTGCTCTGGTCCATCTGGGATGACCGTCAGCCTGGGGCACAGGATGATGACCTGGGTGGGTTGCAGCAAGAGATCCAGAGGGGCTGCCCTGTCTGTCTTCGGGCGCCTCGCCATGAATGAATGAGAAAAGAAATGAATGAACTGGGCTGGGTGAGCGAAGGGTGCCAGCAGAGAGTTTTCTCGGTCCTGCGGGTCGCCCAGGCCGGTCGTGTAGCCGCAGGTGGTACGCCCGCGGCCCGGGGACTCCGCGGGGCACGAATTGCGTAGCTGCCAGGCATCGTTCCCCCCCGCGCCGCAGTGGTACGCGCCACTCCGCTCTGCACGAGCCGGCAGCAGCCGTGCCAGGTGAATGGAAGGCCCGCGGGCCGGAAGTGGACGAGCCCACTCGCCAGGACGCGGGGGGCGCACGAGCACTCCGCGTCTTCATTGAGGAACCGGGGCGGCGAACATGGAGTTCCATGTGCGTCTTATGTAAAGAGAGCGACGGGCGTCTCAACCAATCGACGCGCGGCGCCCTCAGGTTCCGCCCCGCCAGTATGCAGATGAGGCGGCGCCGCGACCAATGGTGCGCGCAGGGGCGGGCGCAGCGCGCGCGGTCACGTTTTCCACTATGTGACAGCGGAGGGCGACCGGGCGGCGGCGGCGGCGGCGGCGGCAGCGCGACAAGGACTAGCGGCTCCGGGCGGCTGCGGCGCAGGCCGGGCGCACCGAGGGACGGGCCGAGAGAGGGACGGACGCGCGGGCGGACGCGGCGGAGCGGTGAGTGGCGCGGCGCCGGGCGGTGGCGCGAACCGGGACGACCGCGGGCGGCTTACGTAACTGGCGGCTGGGACAGCTTGAAGCTGGGGTCCTGCGCCAGAAGTAGCCGACCGTGAGAATGGGTGCAACTCGGCAGAATGCGGGCGGGACCGCGCGCTGACCCTCTCCCAGGCGCACAGGGCTGCCCCCGTTTCGCAGGTCTAGGCACAGAGGTCGGGGAGGTTAGTTAGGCATCTTGTCGGAGGGCGCAGAGCCGTTGAGTGATCACCACACCAGACTGCGTTTCTTTAAATGATTTTCCTTATCCGCCCCCCGCCCCCCGCCCCCACGCCCGTGATGATGTCCAAGGGGGCCAGGGTCAGTGCAAACTGTCCCTAGGACACAGAGGGTCTCTTGAGAAGCCGGCTTCCTGTTATGTGTCCGAGAGTCAAGTCTGGCCCTGGGGAAGGACCACTGATAGGCGCTGACCCCCCCCCCCCCGCTTCCCCGAGGTGGGGGAGGGGTTAAGCAGAGAGGAGAAAGCCCCCAGTACCAAGCCATGCCTGGGGGGCCCCGAGGTCAGGGAGACCACCTTGTCCACCCATTTTGTCCTCTGTGGCATCCTTGCCAGTATCCCTGTTTCCAGATGGACTGGGTGTGTGTGTGTGGGGGGGGGGTGTCCACTCTGAGTTGAAGCAGTCACGTCATCCTTTGGGACATACCTTGGCTGCCAAGCACAGACATGGACCAAGAGGTGGGCGGTGGCCTGCTTCCCCTGCAAGAACCCTGGTTGCCAGGGTTTCTGTAACGTACACACAAGGAACCAGTTTGGAAAGGTGATTCATACAGAACAAGGGAGCCAGAAGGCTCCCTGGAAATCGTCCAGGGTAACCCCTAGCTCGAAGAGGCACAGACGCAGGCTGGCAAGCTGTACCACTGTAAAACCAGGCCTGGCTGTCTGAGATCTCTTTCTCCTCCTTGGTCCACATGCTTACCAGAGGTGCAAGCCTGAAGAGGATGTGTCCACTCTGCCTTACTCTATAGGGCTTAGGTCGGATTTGGCTGATAATGGAAGCAGAGTCTGCCTGAAGTCTTGAATTATAAATCGGGTTCTTAAATCACTTTTTGCGAGTTGTTGGAATCTAATAAAACCAGAGACTCCTTTATTTTAGCGGTAGCTGCACAGTGTGCCAGCATGGAATGGCACTGTGGGTGGTTGCAGTTATCTGTCACTGGCATCTTGGTGTGATTCACTGGTACAGAGCTCATCTTTTCTGAGGAGGCTGGAGTGCTCAGCAGTGGGAGAGCCCTGCATCAGCCAGCTGGCAGCTACTGGGTACCTTGGCTTACCCTGGGCCTCAGTTACCCTGAGGCAGTCTCTGAAATCTGATTCAGTTCAAGGGTTTGGAGTTCTGTATCTGTGGACTGTTTTCTCGGGCACCTGTCCAAGAGATAAGTTTCTGAAGCTCTGCCTGGTGTCACTTAGCGTCATTGTGTGAGACATATCTGCTGTGCTTCAAGGAAGTAGGAAAGGTTCCTGTTATTATATGGCTTCTCTCAAACACCGAACCTTCTAGAAAACCCTGGGAGGTGTGGGGGCCTATTACAATGGTATCATTTCACCCGATCTCAGTGGACCCTCAGCTGCAGCGCTGGGAAGTCCATGATGGGCCTGGAGTGTAGAGGCAGAGGAAAGAGCCACAGTGGATATGGGTGTTGCCTTTGCAAATGACTGCATTAGGTGACTAGAAACACAATAGCCCCCAGCCCTGTGGAGCCCCTCTTCATCTAACCCTTGCGGGAAGCTGCCTACCCGCAGACTCCTGGAGAACAAGCAAGTGGAGAGCCTCTGCTGGCCTGTTCCCAAGCCGCGGTTCCCAAGCTCTGGGGATCTGGCCCTCATGTGAAGTGTAATCAACAAAGCCGGTCACTGTAGGCAACTCTAGAGTCTAGAGCAAGACAGAAGCAGGGAGAGAGGCCACACAACTGACTTCTTTCAAAATGAGATTGTTGTGTGTTTGTGTATTGTGTGCCTGTGGAGGTCAGAGGACAACTTGAAGGAGTCGGTGACGGGGATCGAACTCAGGTCCTCAGTCTCCGCAGCCAGTGTCTTGACCCACTCAGCTGTCTCCCAGTCCCACATAATTATCTTGGCTTTGTGAAAAGACGGGGTCTGCTCATACAGCACCTGGTCAAATAGGATCAGTGTAAGTCCCCAAGGGCAAAGGCTGGGCTCCCGAGACCCCACAAGCGTTCCATCAGCTCCTCCTACCTCAGCCACCACCAGGAGCTGCCCTCTTGGTCCATTATTGTTCTACAGCTTGGTGCCTCAACATAGGTAAGGACCAAAAAGCATGTGGGGGAGTCCTAGGGAGGCAGCGCCCTGGCCGCCTCCTTCCCCTCCTTATTTGGACAGCCCTGGCCACATTTTCCTCCGTTACCCAACCGTCACCATGGAGAGTGTGGCTGTTTATTTAACAGGACAAACATTTTCTCCGGATTACAGCAGGCAGGCCCCAGGGAATTGGCTTCTACCAGGAAGTAGAAAACATGTTATAATACTTGAGGTTGTAAAATACCATGAAGCTTGCAGACTCTCAGGTCCAGGCTGTCAGGTCCCTGTTACATAAAGTTGGAAAACAGAGTTTGCTCGGCTGTGATTAGCCAGGCTCAAGCTGTTCTTGCAGGCTGGTCAGAGGGGCGTGTTCAGGTCAGGGACACATACCAAGCTGGGGCCTTATGATGTATGTGTCTGTGCTAACAAGGAAGTAGGTTCTTTACTGGTTTTCATTTCCCTCAGAAAATGTATTTATTTTCCCCTTAAGTAGGGGGCAGTGAGATGGATGTGTTAAGTTCCTGGAGGCTGGCCCTTTGTCCGGGCTTTGCTTCTAGGCTGCGTTCTGTCGCGCTTGTTTGTTGTTTCTAACTATTTATTATGGAAAGTGTGGCGAGCTGTAGTACTGTGAAGTCCCAGCAGCTGGCCTGGGGTACCCGATCCCACCCCAGACTCATGACACTGCCCTTTCCTAATGTGCCTCTGTCTGGCTGAGGAGAGTGACCATGGCCGAGTGACCCGGTCAACAGACGCAGCTTAACTCCCGCTCTCAGGCTGACTGCTGTCCGTGGGCGAGGCTACTGGGTGGATATGGGAGGGTGTGGGCTCAGGCCAAGAGGGTCTCGGCCAAGTTCTCCTTCTCCCTCCACAACCCTCCCCGAGACTTGGACTCTCTTTCCCAGGGGCTCCTGCCCACCCAGCAGGGCTAGGACAGAGTGCTTGACCAGGAGGCAAAGTCTGCTTGGACCAGCAGCTGGTTCTGCCAACTTGGCAAATTGATGTCAGTCTATCAGAGCCTTTCATGCTGAGCAGTGCATTTTCTGGAATAATGAGGTTTTGGAAGACTTAGCTTAGTCTGTTGCCTTACATTTCTGCCATTCTTGCCTGGCCTTCTTTTCGTAAAAGTTTATCTTCCTCTCTACGGTAACCTGGTGGCAATCGTGACCCTGTTCACATAGACCTCCCCTACCCCAGGAACTGGAACTGCCAGGCACAGACGAGGAGTCCCAGGAACTGAGCCCAACACAGAGCACCCAGGGCGCACCAGGGGTGGGGTTGGGTGGAATGGGGGGTCTTAGTCCTTTGCGTGTAAGCCAGAGGTGCTACCAGCTGGCTCCACAGTGAACCCCCTCACCCTACCCCAGTTACCGGGTGACCTGGCTGTCTATTTTCCTGTTGGGATTTGGCCTCAAGGTGGAAAGCTGGTATTCGTCGGTCATTTATCACATTCCAGATATATATCAACCCATTTAATCCTCCCAAGTGCCAGTACCGGGGTGGGGGGGGTGGGGTGGGGGGGTGGAGGGGGGTGGGGGCCGCGGGACTTTTTATTCCCGTCATAAAGGTGGGAAACATGGCACAGAGACTAAGGAGCTTGTCCAGATCACCTAGCCGAGAAGAGTGGGGCACAGCAGAAGACTTGGCCCTCTTGGACTGCTTGTCCCGCTGCCCTGCCGCGGCTGCCGCCCCGCCACTTTCATAACCTAAGGCAAAAAAGATGGGCCGCTCATCCGAGGGGAGGCCTGGGGGAGGAGATGGATGTGGTCTAGTGTTAGGGGTCAAGAGAGAACAAATCCCGTGGCTTCAGGGGCACTGTGCGCCCACCCTGAACCCAGGAGCGCACGTGACAAGTCGTCATCATGCGTGCTGTGCCCCTCCGACATCCGGCACCTCTCTCCCAGCCCCCACTCGCATGCGCTGACCTACTGCTCCTTTATGGCCCCCCAGAAAATGTTCATATCCGGGGTGTTCTGGGTCCCTGTTGGTCACTGTGTTCGGGGTGAGCCCTGGGAGAGCAGGATAGCACCTATCTATCTATCTGTGCTCTAGTGTGTGCGAAGGCTGCCCTAGGGGTCACTGGGCAGCAGGGCCTGCATGTGTGGCCCTGTGCTTTTAGTGTGATTACCCAGGTGGTCCCGGACTCCTACAGCACTTTCATAGTGTGGGCGCAGAACTCTGGTACCCAGCCCTGGGCTGCGCTAGCCTACTTCTCCCAGTGGGTGCATAGTGCTCCGTGGTGCAGAGACCTGGCAGATGCACAGTGCTCTGTGGGGCAGTCCCAGGCTCTCCTGGCCTCCTCCTCCTCCTCCTGGCAGGTGCACAGTGCTCTGTGGTGCAGAGTCCCGGGCAGTGTGCCTTGCATAGTATGTGTAATGCCCCAGGAGTCCAGCAGGAAGCACTCAGAACTCTCACACTCATACACCTTGCTCCTAGAGGAGAATGGAAACATCATGCTGATACCCCACCCCCCCCCACCCCCCCGTGGGGAGAAAGTGATGATGTTATCCGGGTGTCTGAGGAGAGTGCTGTGGGCCCGAGGGAACAGCAGTGCAGATTCTCTGGAGTGAGAATGTACACACAGGCTAGACTGGGGGAGGTGTGGATAGATAGCGGAGATGCCCAGGAACAGCTAGACCTCAAAGAGCCTTAAGTCCCTTTCATAGACAAAGCCTGCCCTCTGAGTAAGGGTCCCCTCACAGGCCTATAAGTAACATCCACTAGCCCGAATCACTTCTCCTGTTGTGTTGACTGCAGTGGGGCCAGGTAGAGGCAGTAGTCCAGTTTGGAAGTTGAGATTGGCCTCTGGTCACATTATACAGGTATCATACAGAGACACCGGCCCCCCACCACGTCCCCTCCCCCCACCGGCTGCGGCACTGCTGGGGTTCTGTTGTTCCACAGACTAAGTGCTCACAACTTGTGGCGGGGGCCGGATTTCTGTGTCTCAGTTCCTAGAAGGAGAAAAGGTCACACCTCCTTCCAGAGAGTCTCTGTGATTACATTTCCAAGCTCCTGTGGCCAGCTCTTCTCCACCTTCATCACCATGCAGTGGGTCCTAATAATGTTCGGTGACCAGCGGGCAAAACAGCTTCTTCCTTTGCCTTCTCCTGGTGCTGGCAATCTCCCCATCAATCCTACATCTCTGTGGGAAGGTCCCCTCTGTGAAGGCTGTGCTTAGGCACGCTCCAAAAGGCTCCTCCCTTATTTAAAAAAAAAAAAAAAAAAAGCCAGGACTTGCTCATTTGGTTCTGACTTCAGCTGGGGCAATCTCTGTGTTTAGGTTTCCTGTGACTTGGGATACTGGCAAACTCCCTCTCTCTGTGACAGAGCAAGCAAGGCCTTGTCTGGGGCACCGTTCCTTCCCCACACAGCTCTTCTTTACACAGTTGGGTATAAACAGTGCCCCAGCCTGGTGCCTCAGCCTGGTGCCTCCTCAGCCTGGTGCCTCCTCAGCCTGGTGCCCCCCTTCCTGCTTTGTGAGTCAGGTGTTTGTTTTTCCTCCTTGGATACTGACACCCCTTTCTTTGCTCTTGAAAACATAACTTTCTGTAGGGTTGCTAGACTTCTGTTACATAATATTGCTGGTACCCAGGGCGTCTGCAGATTGGCAGATTCAAACCTGTCTTTATCTCGGTGTTCTGAGGCTTTTCTAGAAAACAATTCTCCCTGGGTGAAAATGGCCACTTTCCCCTCAGTCTGTCTGTCCTTCTGCTAGGTAACGTCACCTTTCCCTTCTTAGACAAGTGTGGTGCACACACCCATCATCTCTGTAACCCCGGCATAGGGCAGGCTGAGGCAGGAGGATTACAAGTTCAAGACCATCATGATCTACTTAGAAAGACTTTATTTTCCCAGAAGGAGCAGCAACAACAACAAAATGACTTTCTCCGGCGTCCCCGTCACCACGGACATCTCTCCCTTCTTGACCGGCCCGTGTCCTTTCTCATCAGTTCTGAGGTGGTGGTTTCTCCTTGGCCTGTGGCGTCATCTCCGTTGGGGTTGCTTGTCTCGTCAGGCCTGTCGACTGCAGGACTTGTGTGCATCAGGAGGAGTGGGCGCTGGCTGCCCTGAGCCGCCCTCCCTGTCTGCTGGGGGCTGTGTGTGTGTGTTTCTCCGTCAGAGACTTCTCGAAAGCCCTACTTTGGCCTTTGCTACTTGTGGACAAACAAGGTCTCGTCACTCAGCTGGTTCCTAGAAGCAACCTCGCTCGATTCTGTGTGGCTCCCATCTCCCTGGAGTCCGCCCTTCAGTGGGTGAAGGGTCGTGTTGGGCCTTGGGATGCCATCACCAGGGTGTTGACTGGATGTCACCTGCTTTGTCTCCTGCATACATGGCCACCTTCTTGGTGTGGCCCTGCAGGGGACCTCAGGCTGTGGCGCCCCACAGTTTGTCTGTGAGCATCTGCCCGGTGCTTCCACTGTCCATTTGTCCCACTGTGGCAAGGGGGAGGAGGGGGGATCTGCAGTGCTGGCCATCTTCCTTGGGGCCTGGGGCAATCCAGCAGGGCATGAGACTCCAGTGCCCCCCCTCCACCACCACCCCACCCCCCACCCCCCGTGTACCGCTGCTCCCGTCACCGCTACACCCGTGTATGCCCTTGCTTAGTGGCGAACAGTGGGGCCCTTTTGGGATCCCCTGAGCTCCTGAAAACCATGCTGTTCCTCCAGCAGCTTTAAATGTGTGGTCATTTTACACGTATTACGGGGGAAATGGGTGGGAGGTGAATCTAGAACATATTCCTGTCTTTGTTCCATCCTGGACAGGGTGAGCTCATGCTGTAGACGGGCAGTGCCAGGGTGGGCTTAGTCAGCACAGAGAAACCTCTAAGCTTAGGGTGGGTACAGGACCAGAGCATCCTGGGTCAGGCCAGTCTGGAGCTGGACGCTGCCTGATATTATGCAGCCCTGGCTGAGTGTCCTGCCCCGTCAGTTCACCTATGGCATGGAATCTTGCATGCAGTGACTCGTGTGACCTGGGCTGTGTCCATCTTCCATTGGCAACCTGTGTTTTCCTGACTGCCAGGAAGCCAGTGGAGATGTTGTACCTTCCAGGGGAACATGCTGCTTCACTTGGCCTGCTAGCAAGAGTCATCAAGTCCCTAGTTCTCTAGCTTCCTCCTGTGCTTGGTAGAGGAGAGGTCAGGAGAGAGTGGTCAGGCATTTGTTCCTCAGCCTGCAGTGATCTGGATGTCTTTAGCGCTTTCTTCTCCCCTACCCACTTGAGTGGTGATAACTACCTCTCTCAAGCCCAGCACCCAGCCCTTAACTGCTTTTAGCTGTTTGCAGAAACCTGATGTGACCCAGCCTAAATGATGTCTGCTTTCTGCCAGGGTCCTGCTAGAAACATTATCCCTGGCCCTCCCTCTTTTCTTCCAGTGACATTTAACAGTCTCCTGTCCCTGAGCTGTAACCTCCTGTCTGGTGTTATGCCCACCTTTCCCAGTCACTAAGTCTGTAACCCTTCAGGGAGTTCGGCTTTCTATGAAAGCCTTGTTAGTGATGGAGTTTTAGCCCCTTCTCCACACCTAGCCCTAAGCACACAAGTTCAAGTTTCCATCTAGTGTGGCCGTGGGATCCTGCCAAATGTAAACCAAGTCCCACGGCTGTGATGCTTAGGCAGTTCAGTGGCCCCTAACTGTCCTGGGTAAGCGTGGATCTCCTTCCTGCTCACACCACCTTATGCCAAGGCCAGGCTACTGCAGTGATAGAGCCCCCAGCATCTGGAGCGTGCCATGGCATACCCACTGGACCAGCCTCACGGAGGCCTCTTCACCCCTCACCCAACAGCATCACCTCTCCAGCAGGCCCTGCAGCCTGCAGCTTCTCTGTGACTCATGCTGTGCTGTGAGGAAGTTGTTGCTGGACCCTGCTGCTTAACATCACCTAGGGAGACAGTGGGATAGAGATTCTCAGGCCCTGCTCACCATGTAGCATGACTATATTCCCCCACTACCTAGGTGGCTGCCAGTGTCCTTGTCTGTCTGCTGACAAAGGTGTCAGCACCTCCATGGCCCAGCCGAGGCTCTCAGGTCAGCTGTCTTCCTGATCCAGGACCAATAGGAGCTAAGGAATCAGGACCACATGCGCACACAAGTAAATGACAGCTGTGCCATTGATAATGGGAATCACACCCAGGGCCTCGCCCATACTAGACGCAGGCTCTATACTATGGGGCTTCATCCCCAGCCTCACTGGGGTCTTTTAACACTTGACCACAATCTTCTCTCCTTCACCAGCTTCTTTCCAGAGCCCGACATGAATGGCTACGTGGACTTTTCCCATGGTTCCACCAGCCCCTCCAAGGAGCCAGGGGAGCCTCAGCCCAGCCAGGCTGCGCTTCAGGAAGACATGGACATGAGCAGTGGCTCCAGCGGAAATGAAACCAATGAGAACTGCTCCACAGGGCGGGACTCTCAGGGCAGTGACTGTGATGACAGCGGGAAGGAGCTGCGGATGCTGGTGGAACCTTCCAACACTCACCCGAGGTAGGTTCAGCCTCAGGCTGGACCCCCCCACACAGGACACCTGTGGCTTCCTCCATGTTTTCTGTTGTCCATCTTCCAGCAGCAAGTACCAGAACTTGCAGGATTGCCGCACTACTTAATTCTGTAGATAATATTTACTGGGGGGTCTGTCCTTCCGAATAATGATAATACAGTCATCTTTGCATTTTTGTGTCTGATGCCACTTGACAGTCCGGTGAGATCTTGGAGGTGGCTGCTCACACACCTACAAGGCAGGTCACAGAAAATGATTGCTCTCTTTGCATTTCCATCTCTCCATGCTCAACTCTCCTGATATCTGAAGATGTTATGCTCCAGTCTTAACATAATTTTTCCTTTTGAAAATTTTAATTTTAATGTGTATGGGTGCTTTGCCTTTATGGATGTCTGTGCACCACTTGTGTGCTTGGTGACCACGGAGGATATAAGAGAGCATCAAATCCCCTGGAACTGGAATTACAGGTGGCTGTAAACAGCCGTGTGGGTGCTGGGAATCGAACCTAGGTCCTCTGGAAGTGCTCTTCACTGAGATGATTCTCCAGCCCCGATTCTTATTTTGTGAGAAGCCGTGGAGGGCCTCAGGCATGCCAGGCAGGTTCTTTACCCCAAAGCCATCACCCAGCACACCCCACTATTCTCTTAAGTCTCTGGTGTGATGTCCCCAGTCTGTTGTGCCGGCTGGATGGGGGGGAAGAGGCGTATAGAGATCTGCCACTGAGACTGTCACTATCTGTTCTCGCAGCCCTGATGCCTTCAGACTGATGATGACGGAGCCAGAACACAACCCCTCCACAAGCGGCTGCAGGTGAGACCCACCATACTGCCCACCTCATGCCCTTTCAGTGGCGTGGAGCCCACCACAGCTTCTCCCTCATGCTCTCTCAAGGGAGGTGGGACCCACCACAGCTCCCACATCATGCTC